GGGGGGGGGTTACCCGTAATTTTACATTTTACGATTAGGTTAGAAATTTTCTTGAAAATAATAGATTTGCGACAGTTTTGGTGGCTTTATGTATGATCTGCAGCTGACAATACTGCAGTTTGACCCCCGAAGCCGTGCATCTGTGTGCGGGAGGGAAAGTAAAAACTTACCTCCTTATTCCTCCTCCTCCTCCACCTTTTTTTTGTGTGTCTGTTACGCTCATGTAACTCCTCTAATCTTCGGCACTTATATGACCTTGTAGTGTTGCCTGTACCATAATAAAACTCTTACTTAAAACGAAAAAAGAACAAAATGCATGAAGTTGGCTTACAACAGCCTTTACATTTTCCTTACGGTAACCATTTCCCTGCTGTTTTTTTTGTGTGTTTTTTTTTGCTTCTTCTTTCCTATCAAACATCTATCGTCCTTATCTCCTCTCCTTCTTTTTTATGTTTGTTACTCTCTTGTAACACCTCTAATCTTCTGGCGCTCATATGACCTTATGCAGTTGCCAGCGCCGTAAAACCTCTCCTAAGACAAACTAACTTTTTTGGTCCTCAGTGGCACCTGGGTATGTTCCAGTGGGAGTACACGCCACTGTACCGAGGGTTCGAGTCCCACATCGGATACTACCAGGGCTGCGAGGACTACTATGAGCACACCTACGAGGCCAATTTGGTGGGTGGTTAGTAGAGAGTGGTTGATGGGTGGGTGGTGGGGGGGGGCAATCGTCGGTGGGTCGATTGGGTGTTTGGTGGAGGGTAGGTGAATGGGTTGTGGAGGATGGTGAGTAGGTGGTGGTTGGTGGGTGGGTGGTAAGTAGGTGCTCTGGTGTGGTTGGCTTCTTCTTTCCTATCAGACATCTATGGTCCTTATCTCCCCTTCTTCTTCTTTATGTTTGTTACTCTCTTGTAATGCCTCTAATCTTCTGGTGCTCATATGACCGTATGCAGTTGCGAGCGCTGTAAAACCTCTACAAAAACCAACAAAAACAATCAACTTGGTGGGTGGGTGGTAGGTGGGTGGGTAGTGCATGGTAGGTGGGTGGTGGAGGGTAGTTGGTGGGTGGGTGGATGTAGAGTGAAGTGTGGTTGGTAATGGTTGGTGGGTGATGGGTGGAGGGTGGTTTGTGGGTGGTTGGTGGTAGGTGGGTTGTTGGTGGGTGGGTGCTGGTCACATTTTTTGCTGCCCCTCCCCGTTGTGGGATGGGTGTGGTGGCTGGTCTTGTGCCGCGTGTTTCACCATTTAACACCTTTAGGGGTGATACGCCTGTATTACTCTCACGTTTATTTGGTCGCTTTTAAGCACAAGGAGACTATCCCGAAAAATGCTGTTTTGAGAAAATCAAAGGCTATGTGGGGTGTAGACTTCCAGCGCGACAAAGATCTGTTGTGGAACTACACGGGCCTATACTCCCACACTCTTTCCCCCCTTCCTCACTCTCACTCTCTCCCCCTCCCTCACTCCTCTCACTCTCTCTCTCTCTCTCTCCCTCTCTTCCCCCC